GTCATAGAAGGCTCTGGAAGCTGTGGGGCTGAGGTCACAGAAGGAGCCGGAAGACCCAACAGAGAGCTCTGGAGGCACCAGGATATTGTCCCTGAGGGCACAAGCCCTCGCTGCCTGGGTTAGAACCTCAGATCCAGCCCTGTTGCTCCAGCCCATGGCCCCGAGGAGAGCTGCTCATGGGCTGTGGGGGACAGGCTGCCCCGGCGTGGGCTGGAGCTGGGCTGACCTACTCAGCTCTCTGCCCATCCATGAAGCGCCCTTTCCCCAGCTGAGGGAAGCAAACATGGGACTGGAAGAGACCCTGGGGTTTGGACCCAGCACTGGTACATCACAGAAAGACTGACAAAGGGGAGGGTCACTGGGTAGGTGTTGTGGAAGGGCAGACACTGGGGACTGAGCAGGCTTGTTAGGACCCAGCTGCCAGCCTCGCTCTGCCTGCCCCTCACAGGCAGCAAGCCCACCTGTGACCAGGTGGAGGCTCAGAGTTGGGCCTGGGTCTTCTAAAGGAACAAAGCCATTTTCCCATCTCTAGCTTCTCTTCCTGTCCTGGGTGCCCACACCCATATCATATGTCAGCCATGGTCCTCAGATGCCCACTGGGCTGGCCAGCACCCACCATGCACAGACCCAGCCCATCAGGCCCTGCTCACCCTACAATCATGGCTCTCTCTTTGTGTGTGTGGTACTTGGAATTGAACTCCGGGCCTTCTCACTGAGTTACATTCCAGGCCTTTTTTCATTTCTATTTTGAGACAGGGTCAGGCTAAATCTCTAAGTTTCCCAGGCTAGGCTCAAACTTCCTGTCTCCGTGCCTCAGTCACCCGGAGTGCTGGGATGGGAGGTGTGCAGCCCCTCGGTCCCTGTCTTTATATTCCTAACCCAGCGCGATGGCCAGTGAAGTGGAGCCAATGAGCCAGTGTTCGGATCGGGCCCTTCCCTGCTGGCGTTTGTGGGGTGAGAAGGGTTGTGAGCTCCCTTCACCAACTCATCTACAGGGGCGCCCTGGCCTCTCCTGTGTTCCTGCTGTTGATTGCAGCTGGGTTGTGGGTGTACTGAAAGGTCATAACCTCGGATTTTTACCTTATTTTTTTTTTTAGGTGGCAAAGTGTTGATATTTTGCTTTTAAGATATAAAGAATTCTCAAATAAAATTTTTTGTTATTGTTATTGTAGCAGGGTGGAATTAAGCAACAAAAATTAAAATACAATCATTTAGACTGTTTTGTTTACTGTTATGAATACTCATACCTAAGATTAGAATTTAATGCAACAAACCTCTGTTCACCCACCTGTGATACTGTTTAAATTTTGTAGATTTTTAAAAAAACTTAAAATATTATTCGTAGTGTTATTAACCACGCTTTCTCTTTTATCCTTCATCTACCAATCTATTTCCTTATTTAACTAGAGGAAACATTTTAATTATGATTTTTATTCATAAATAGATCTGAAATGACCCTTTATTGTGGCGTTTCAATCATGCAATATTAAATCTCATCTCTATTTCCATGGGTCAATGGCATTTTAAAATGTAAAGTATGCAAGGGGATTTTTTTTCTTGCAGGTTTCGTTGAGAATGGCCAGCTATGTTTGAAGGTGAGTATTCATAGAAGAAAATTTCATCTGAGTGGTAGGCTCAGTGTGTTCTGTCACTGTTGATCCACTGCTTAGAAGGAACAGCAAGCTACAGCATCCCCCAGTCCAGGACCCAAAGGTGAAGGCGTGAGGCAGGAAGGGTGGTGAAGCAGGCAGACAGGTGGGCAGGCAGAGAGGCTGCTGCAGTTCAAGGCCAAGGCCCAAGATATTTCAGTGCATCTCTGCAATTTAATATTTAATGTATATGCTTAATACTGTAACTGAAACAAAACATTTTGTGAAGAATATTCTTGAATGTGTATATGTATATGTAAAGTACAAAGGAAAGAGATAGTGTACATACACACACTCACAAGCACACGCACAACTTCTCTTTCCATTGTGCTCCCTCTAGTCTATGCCCATCCTGTCAAACAAATGCCACCCCTCGCTCTTTAAGTAGTTTTGCACCCCACAGTGTCCAGGCACTGCAGGGACATCTCCAATTTTGCTTCCCTCCCCCATGCATGAAGGAGAAGGCAGAGGTCCTGCAGCAGCCCACCGCAAGGGCCCCCAGAAGTCACTCCTGACTTGAAGAATCTCACATCTAAAGGACTAAGAGGTTCCTGAAGATGTCCCAAGATGGCGTGGTGACGCCCACCTTGGGTGAGCAGGGACCGTTATGGGCGGAGAGGAGAGGGCTGGTCTGAGCTGAGACTTGAAGAATGCATCAGGGAGGCCCAGGCGCTGGGCCGGAAGAGTCAGGCTGCAGAAAGCGTCCTTGGAGTGTAAGACCCCGAGCTGCCCTGGTCCCTTTCCCCTCGTTGTGTATGTGTAGTGCAGGTACACATACACCGGGAACTGGCCTAACGAGCAGGGTTGCCAGCGTTCCTGAGACTGCAAAGCCTCAGGCCAGAGGCTGGCACCTCCTCTCTGGGCAGAAGGCCCTGAGGGTCACTCCCTCAATAAGCAGAGGCTCCAGGGACTATCCCAACCCCCCCTCACCTTCAGCCTCTTAAGGGGAGCTCCGTGGGCACTTGGGCGCCCATGGAAGGCTGGTCAGGGCAACTGGTCCTCCATCTCTTCGTTTCCAGTTGAAGGACAGGCCCCATGCGCTTCCTGGAACCCACCGGAGCCCAGCAGAGCCAGCGAGCGGGGGCCTGAGGAGCAAGGCCACACCACGGGAGGGAAGAGTGGCCCCACTGGGAGGAAGAGGCGCTGCCACGGAGCCCTGCAGCCTGGGTCCCACCCTGGCCGTCTCTGAGCTTCCTGCTCCCCAGTCCCAGCACACAGAGAGGCCTTCTCTAGGGCTGTCTGCACAGTGGCCTGGAGCCGCTCCCCAACCCTGACCCCGAGGCAGGGCGGGGCGGGGAGGGGGGAGTGTGCTGCAGCTGCTGGTATTTGTTAATGGTCATGCACGTGATGCATCCGCCAGGAAGTGGCGCATTGATCACCAGAACGTTCTGGTCAAACACATCTTTCAGAGGAGCAGACAGTACACATTGCCCCCAGCTGTACTCAGCTCAGCCGGCTGGGTACCAAGCAGGTGGCCCAGACTGGTGATAACCAGCAGCCCAGCTGCTCCGTGGAGAGAAGATGAGCAGCCACGGCTTGTGCGCATGCTGTGGAGGCTGCACCCATTCGAGCGACAAAGTGCATTCTCTGGTTAGCACAGCTCTTGGAGGCCTGGTGAAGTCACCTTGAAAGACTCCTGGTGGGGGGGTGCGAAGATTGCTGACTTGGGGATGGAATGTCACCGGGAGCAATGAGATTTGCTCCTTCAACAGCCCTCCTCCGATCCACGCTCCTGTGTCTACCATTTGTCGCGTCTCCATATTGTGGGCCTTGTGGCTGCTGCCCAGTCCAAAGCCTGGGGCCGCTGCACTGGCCCACATGAGCTCCTGCCTCATGTCTTGACTCTGAACTCATCCCTACACAACACCAGGGGGGATGTGGGCCTGAAGCCTTCAGTAAAGCCAGGGGAGTCGGGACATCACGCAGACTGTGAGCAAGACCTCGCCGTGCCACACGTGTACACGATCACCCCGAGGGAGGGGAACAGCGCAAGTGCATGGTGGCTGTGCGGCCCAGGCAGGGACACCGCACAGGGACACCGGCTCCGCCGTCATTGCAGTCTCCATCTGCTCCCTGCTGCTCTAATAGACACTGCAGACTGGGCACTCTTATGGGACAGGGATTGTTTGGTCCTGACTCTGGGTGGCCAGATGGTGCAGGGCTGGCACCTGCCTGGTGCCTGGTGAGGGCCACAGGCAGCATTGCAGCATGGAGGATGTGCTCTGTGGTGAGACAGCAAGCACGCCATCTTGGCTCTCTCTTCTTCCCATGAAGCTACAGATGCCATCCTGGCCCCTCCCGGGGACCTCATTGGAAATTCATTATCTCAATACTGTTAGCGTAGGAATTTGGGGTTAAGTTTCCAACATGCGAGCTTGCGGGGGACACGTTCAAACCACAGCATAGTACACTTTAGTTGAGAAAGTAAGTAACCAGAGCAGGTGGTGGGAGCTGGGTTCCCACCTGCATGGGCAGTTGGGGACAAGAAGGGGAGGACACTAGGAAGATCACTGTGATACAGCATTGAGCTGGAAGCACCAGTACAGGCTCACAGGTGACCAAATGGATACAGAGGGACAGCTGGACAGCCGAGTCTCTATGCAAGGGAGGCACACAGGCACATTTCTGAACTCTTCCTGTAGGCCTAGAAGCAAAGACCGCCCAGTAGCAGCAAGCACACCCAGCCCCAGATCTTGGTTTCTAGCACCAAGCCTCCTTTGGAGAATTGACTGATGCTAGGCCTGAGGCAAGGAACAGACTAGACGAGCCAAGAATCTCGTGGGGCAGAAAGGAAGGGTGTGCTCCTGAGATGGCAGCTAAGGATAAGGAAGAAGACTTGTCCTTAGTGCTCGATGGGTCAGGACAGAGGACCGCTCTGGGGCAAGATCCCAACAACAGGAAGAAGCGTGGGCAGGGGCTGCGGAACCTGCTACTCCAGCTTGGCCACTGTTCTGTAAATCTGAAACTCTCCTATAATAAAAAGGTCATCTGTTGGGAGGTCACTCACGACACGCGAGTGATTCTGCCTTTCCCTGCAGCCTGGTCCACATCCTGGCTCTCTGCATCACCTTCCTCTGCCACACCAGCCTCCTTGCCGTTCATGCTGTCTCCATCAGCCCCGTGGGCCGTGCTGCATGGTCACCCTGTGTGCTGCCCCTCCCTGAACAGCTCCCCAGTCTGTGCTCAGCTCTTCCTCTCATTGCCAGATAACCTCCCCATGCAGCACACACACGTACACTCACAGCATGCATGTGCACACGTTCACACCTCCACAGCACATACTCAGGGACACTGACGCCTGTGAGCACATATGTACACGTCCTCAGACATATGCATGGGGACATGCACACTCTCACATGCACTGGCATACGTGCATACACTCCAGTACCAGCACATGTCCCCCCATACCCTCCACACCCCCTCTGTCACAGCTTGTGTCTGCCATGTATGATGTCTCCCCAACAGGTGTTAAAGACCCCAGAGGAAGGGATGTCCTCGTCATCACCGCAGGAGACCACAGAGCAGAATGGCAGCTGTTGGACTCCAGACAGCAAGTGGCCACAGGTGACAGGGACCCAAATTCTTCCTGCAGGATTGTGTGATTCAAATTCACATTAGCAGTACAAGGAGATGCAGTTTTGCGTATTACGCTGGCATCTGTCCCCTGTTTGTTTTCTAGAAGTCTAGAATCAAATCACACATCTGTGAGCCAGGAATATGGAAATGTGCTGTAGATCCACTACTGCACTACAGTGGTGTGGTTGTCAAAATGGAAAACACGTAAGATGACAGGTGAAAATGAAAGCCGCAGGCCAAAGGATATTGGGAGCAGATGGTGCATTGGAAACATATACAATGGGCTTTTCTTGAAAGCAAAGATGCCGGCAATTCCAGTCTCTTCTGTTGCCACATGAAAATCAGATGAAGAAAAACAGCTCAGACCTTTATGGTTTGAGCGGCATCGCCCACTTCTGCAGTGTGCAGTCTGCGATGTTGCTTTAGAAATAATGACATCAACAATGATCTAAGATGCAGCAGATTGGATCACCCAATTCAGGTCTTAAAATGAGCAAAAGTTTGGCTCTAAAGTATTTTTTGTCAGTGTGTTGAGGAAGAGGCTGTTCGTAGGGAGTGGCTTTAGGGTTCACGGCTTGGATTCTGGATGCCTTCACCTGTAGGGCTGCAGGAAGGAACCCACTTGGAAATGGTGTCAGTGGCAAGAATCAGACATTGTGACAGCTTGTGACATGTTGGGCGGGACAACCTTGATGCAGATTGTTCAGGGCAATGTCTGACCACGAGGTTCCCCCCTCCCCCCCCCATTCACCAGATTTGCCGCCATGCAACTCCTGGCTCTTCCCCAAAGTCAGAAAGACCAGGAAAACCCAAGCTGTCCACCAAGTCCAGATTGGCGCTCTCAGATCCTTTCCCACCAAGGCCAGGACCTTGCTCACTAAGGGGCCTTTTGGGGGCTTCTGCTCAGGTGTCTGGCAGTGACGCCACTGTCAGCAGGAGCTGGAGCCCAGGAGCCTTGCGGCTGCCTCAGGGAGGAGCTGCAGCTGCTGGTACTCTGTGCAGGGTAGAACCTGCTAGGGGGCCTCCATGTGTCCCTGGAGACTCAGGCTGCCCTGGGTTCCTGGAAGAGATGGGGAGCATGTCTCTTCCCTGCCCCATGTGGTAGGCAGGGCAGGCAACTCCCTCTGCCCAGCTGCTCCTGTCCATGGGCCTCCCCAGGAGGAGCTCTGCAGAGACTGCAGTCTGGGTCCCATCTTCCCAGCACCCAGCACTCCAGAGGCCCTTGCGTCCCAGTCCTCGGCAGCCCCAGATGGCCCCAGATGGTTCCTCATACCCTGCAGCCAGCATCACATCCCCAACTCTGCACTATGCACCCATCGCAGGGCTGATGCCATGAGTGACTCTGGGGTGAGCACCCACTGCTGCTGGCTGCAGCATGTGGGGGCACAAGACTCACACTACCCCATCTCTGCTGCTCCCCAAGCCTGGCACAGAGAAGGGTCTCAGAAGGCCTCCACATAGAGCTTATCTAGTTACATGTCCCCTGGCACCTGCTACCTGCTCCCCCAGCTGCCGTCTCTTCACCCAAACCAGAAATCAGAGGCCTCAGCACACCATGCGGAGCAGTCTGTTCACACCTGTCTGTGCCTTTACACCCCTATCTGTATGTGGGCGGGTGGTGAGAATTAGCCAGGATGAGGAGATGTGCTGTTTCTCTCCATCCCCTATTCCTTACACACATCTGGCACATGCCAGATGCTAAGTCAAGGCTTTTACCTCAAATGAATGATTGGGATACGAATGAATGTTTGCCCAGCACTCCTTAGAGACTTAGAAGAACCCCTATCCCCACCTCTCCTTCCACACTGGGAGCGATTTCAAGGCAGGAACTCCTTCTCATGCTCTTTGGGGTCCGTCTGTCAACAGCAGCCACACATGCAGCCCTGGGTGCAAGGAGAGGTAGGGACAGTGGTCTGCGGGGGAGGGAGAGGAGAGAGCTGCAGGGAGTCCTGTGGCCGCTCAGCGATCCTGTCCACATCTGGGATGCAGCGGCCATGAAGTGATCTTTCCACAGCTCAAGACCAAGCTGGGAGCCACCAACTCTTGTAATAGCCTAGGAATTTTGAATATTTTTGTTAAAATGCATTTGCCAAGATTGTGATGCTTCTGACCTTGGGAACATTTAAAATGGACCCAGTCTGGTCTCACTGGGAATTCCCGGGGTGTACAGACGAGTCTTGATTCTGCAGCCAGCTCAGAGAGCTCACCTGCCTTGTGAAGGAGTCTGAAGTACCGGCAGGAGGAGGGGTCCCAAGGAAGAGGCCCAGCGTGAGAGGGAAGAGAGAGGGCTGTGCGCGTTTCCCTGCACTAGCACCCCCAGAACCCCCAGGTTGGTCCCAGGCGTCTACTTAGCTTGGACTAAGAATCCATTGCCCCACTCCCAAATGTCCCAAAGCATCTGACAGACATAAAACACTGGGACTTCCAGGGGACAGGGCTTCAGGGAGAGATCGTGAGAGCTGGGCTGCAGTCAGGGCTCATTCTGAAACAGATCATTAATTCACCCAACAAATATTTATTGACCAGAAAATGGCTACTTGGAGAACATCTTGGGCTTTGACTCATCCACATATATCTTCTCTCTCCCTCTCCACCTCCCTCTCTCTCATCCTCATAAAACCTTGAAAACCAAAACATCCTCTGTGTCTGCAGTGGACCCAGGAGGTGAACAGACATCACAGTGGCAGCTGTAAAAAGATGGTCCAAGTCCTGGCCTCTGTGCAAATGACCCGAGGGACACAGAGGCCAGCTGGGCAAGGAGGGCGCGGGCCTGGGGGCCATGAGACTGACGTTTGGAGGGCTCCAGTTCAGGGGAAATGGACTGTTTAATGCTAACCAAGTTCCACAGTGCTGTAGGAGACCACAATAGCGTCATGGCTGCAAGCCACAGCTTGGCCGTCTCATCGTGCTCGGCTCCTTCTGAGCTGCTCTGAGGATCTCGTAACCGGCCGGCAGCCTCTCGTGTTTCCTTGCCTGGTGCTTTGTGATTTGATCCTTCAGAATTACGATTCCCACCCTGCCCTTTGGTGACTAGCAGCAGATCCAGCCATGAGCTCTGGGCTAGGAAGCCAGACAATGGAACCTTGCTGAGTGTTTACCTTAAGCTAGAAGAGGTGATGACTGGTATCCGGCGGGTAAGGTGCGCGAGCTTTGTGACAGCTGCCTCAGCTCTTCGTGGCCCGTGGTCTCCTCCATCCTTCCCCCCAAGGTCCAAATACGTGAGTTTGTAGGAGAGCTCACTCTAATAATAGGACCAAGCTTGGCATTTCGAGACTACAAGGAAAATGGAGACTGTGCTGCATCCAGGAAATACAGGCGCATAAGCCAGGCACAGCTGGAACATCTGGCCTTATAAAACTAAAAATAACACCTCATAAAATATATGATATTCATGTATTTTGACAGCTGAAATACACTTTCCATTGCTCATGACTCTGTGAGTCTCACTGGTGCAAGAGCCCTGAAATTGTGTGTTCTGGGATCAGTGACATCTCAGTCCGGTGGGCCCCTTACTCTACCTTGTTTGCACAGCTCCCCAAGGGCCTAGGAACCCCCGCTCTGCTTTGCTCACAAAGCCTTTCCTATCCTTGGCTCGCAAGCCAGGCTCAGGCTGCTCCCCCAGCCCTTATGGATGAAGGTCCTGCCATCTTGCCCAGCATGCTCTTCCCTTCTCTTCTTGGTTCTTTGTCCAGTGGGTCCAGAGCTCCTGCATAGCAGAGGTCATCCACACAGACGTCTGTCTGTCTCTACTCCAGGACTTGTCTTCTCTTCTGGGTGACTTAACTGTCGATCGGCTCTGGCCAGATGGCCAGTGCTCTGCAGCCTTCCCCGCCCAAGGGCATGCTCTCCCACCTGCTCAGTGCTGCGCCTCAAGGCCTCCACTTGGACTGGTCCCTCAGGTTGTCCACTCATGCAGACTTCAGTTCCTTCACCCTGGAATGCTCTAACAATAAGCTTCCCCCATTCCAGCACTGCCCCCAACTCCCCTGCCATCTGGCTGAGGTATACCCCTTCCTGGGCCCCGCTCCCTTCCACTGCTCCGACACCCACCGCAGGTCTCCAGGTGCCACACATTCATGCTGTTGCCCAGATCCTCAAGTCATTCCCTTGCATGTCTTCGTTCTTCTGTTTCTCTCCTCCAGCAAACCCTCAGGGAGTCCTCCCTGCTGTGGTGCGTGTTCTGACACCTACTGTGATTAACTCGTCCAAGCCTGATAAAACTCCTGTGGAGCAAAGGAACATTAAGCTTTCCATTTCAGAGGCAAGAAAACCAAGGCACACAGAGCCACATAATTAGATGGGAAATGAAAATTGGACTCTGGGTCATTGTCCTATACGTGTAGCTTTTTGATGTCCTATTTGTTCAAAAATCTTATCTATAAAGATAGCTTTTCATATTGTTAATTAATGTATTTTTATTATTGAGCTATTTAAGACTGTGTTCATTGTATGACATATTCCTTCCTTCCTGTGTGTGTGTGTGTGTGTGTGTGTGTGTGTGTGTGGTACCAGGGATCAAACTCAGGACCTTGTGCATGCCAGGCAGGAGCTTACGCTATAGAACTAGCTCCCCAGACCCCTTCCTTCATAATTTGTTCAGAAATTTTGACACTTAGAAAGGTTGACTATCCAGAAATCAGAAGTGAAAACTATCATATGTCTTTTACATGTTAGTCTTTCCAATTATTAACTTGCTTGGAATCTATTAGTAATAAGATACTAAATTAAGAAAGAAAAATAAACTATTAATTGATAATCCTAGCAGCATTGATTCTGAAGGGGTCATGTGTTTTTCTAAATCCATATTTTTCTCCTGAAATATTTCACCAGTGGTATGGAAATCATTTAATTATTAAATATTTATTCATTAATGTACTTATTTATTTTTTAAAATTTATTTAGTATAGGGTCTATAGGGCCTCACTACAAAAATCGGATTTGTAGTAATCCTCCTGTTTTCAGCCTCCCAAGCACTGGGATTATAGGCATGAGCCATCACGCCCTGTCTCATTCACCATCTCAGCAACCCTCCCCCCCGGAGTTGGGGCTAGCATGGCACACCAGGGATTAAACCCTAGCCCCTGCATCTGCCTAAGCAGGTGCTTTAGTCCACTGAGCTATCTGGCTGGCCCTTATTAAATATTTAATAAGTCTGTCAATAACATCTCTGTTTAAATCAAAGACTTTTTGTCTATATTCTTATTTTTATTTTTGAAGTTTGAGAGCTTTCATCTGTATCTATCCTGAATTATATTTTCTCTGTAATTCAACCTGTGGTTTTTCACTTGTTGGCTTTGGTCCTAGTATCATGCACAAAGAGTAGTTCATTCATTCATTCATTCACTCATTCATTCATATAACAATGAATAAAGGAGGCAGATGTCTGAGGCCCCTTTCCTTATATACAAGATCAAGACAGAGTAAGGTGCATGGACTAGCTTTAGTTCTCACCTGTGCTGTGACTGTGGTGACTCCTGCACTCAGCCAGCTGGAGGGGCTGGTCTCACTGTTGCATACTTCTGGCTGCCCCACCCTGTGCTGTGGGCCACCTACAGGAAAGTCCCACTAGGAGTCTTGCTTTTTCTGAGTGCTTTCTAAATTTTTTCTGGTTACTGACAGAGAATAGTACTTGGGCTGCAGACACAGTGTCCAGCTTTAACAAACAAAAGTAGGAAGCACAAAAAAGCAACAAGAAAAGATAACCCATTGTTGAG